CACAGGAGAGATGAATTAGAAGTGGAAAACTGAATAAGGCTTTGACGGGGGGATCTGGGATAAACCAAGGGATAAACCTGGGGGAATCCTTGCTATTATTTTTATTACTGTTGTTATTTTTTCTGAGATAGAGAAGGATTTATGATTATAAGTTTAGAGTTAATAATATGTAAATGTAGGTGGGGACTGTATAGGGGGAAAAAACTGTTTGGTCTGTGAAGGGAAGATTCTTTTAATGGAATAATTAGTCTGTAAAAATGGTATACCATACTGGTACACAAAGAGGGAAGGATAATGAAATTGGAATTTGTAAAGTTATTTTTAAAAAGCATTAATAAAATGAATTGCTGAAGTCATACATAATTGAGCAATGGGACCCAAAATATTATAGAACAACTCTGTTATGCAAAGGGCGGTAACATTTCATTAATTTCATTCTTACCTGTAAAAAAATGAAGAATTTCAAAAGTTTATTTCTTGTGCAAAATTCTGAGGGCTTTTTGAGCATTTTAAAAATGATTTTTCATATTTCAGGACTTTTGGTAAAAAAAATCACAAAATCCCCAATTTTTGCACAAAGATAATTTGTTATACAAATGGATATCATGTGTAATGGTGTATTGTTCTGAAATGCAAAATATGCATTGTAAATTTATGTTTTTATTTTTTAAAAATGATAACAGTGTCTCAGTGTATGTTTATCTCAAACATTCACTTCCTCAACAATATCCTAGCACATGTGATGGTTTCCCTGCTCCAGGGATTCATTTTAATAAGAGGATTTTAATTGTGTTTTAAAATTCTATTGCTTTTAGCTGATTCTTTTTGTGAGCCACCTTTGGTCCCACTTCAGGAGGACAGTGGCATATAAATTAAATAAAATGTTGTATAAAGTGACTTTTTCTCCTTGAGGAAGTGAATTTATTAGTGTTCTTTACATCACTAGCTATGAATAGTTTCAGCATGCTATTATATTGGCTTTCCTTGAAAGTAACTTTCTAAACTAAACAGTGTTGATAGGCAAAGAAATCAGTTTCTAGTAAGGTCAATCTTTCTTTCTAAGTTCTGCTTTTGTCTGGCTTAATATATATCATCTCCATTTTAAAACAAATTTGCATTGTCCACAGTGATGTGATTTTCATTTCTTGAATGCATTTCAGCAAGTTAAAATGCTTTCATAAAGCATAAATCTGATTTACAATGTGTTTTCCTGGCACAAAATAAGACTCACTTTAAGTAAAACATTAATAAACATGGTGAAGTACTTTGGAGATGAAAAACAAAAACAGTAAATAAAAGATAACTCCAATTTTTACCATCAGGTCAGTTGCTTAAATGATACACTCTGCTTTCAAAAAAAGGTACCACAAGTAAGTTAATTTTCTGTAAAGGAAATCATTTCTGGAGATATATAGTGTGGTATATAGAAATCCAGAAATAGGAAATTATATTCTGTAAACCCAATGAAACAATCTTTTAGAAAAATGGGGAAAGAGGCTTATGCTAAACAGAAAGACATTGCTAATACAGAAAAGGAAACACTCATGGATGGTCATGATATAATACATTTGTTTTTTACTTCTCTTGTTAGAAATGAAGTATATATTCAGCTGACTAAAAGTAACTGATATATAACAAGAGTGGGCAGCTGTGAGTGGTGGTGGTGAAGGGCCATATTTTTCCCCCACAGGACACATCCCAGCAAGTGAGCCCATATTCTCCATTTCTCCTTTGAGGACTTCTCAAAAGGGCAACAGCAAGTGAATGTGAGTATTTTGAAAAAAAACTGTAAAAGAAAACAGAGGTGGTTAGAAGTTTCATGAGGCTCTGGGGTGCTTGTGGGAATAGGATGGGGACATTTTGTCATGTTTTCATGTGTTTGAAGGGCTTTCTGAGTGATTTTAGAACAAAGATTGCCGCAAAGTATGCTAATTTAAAAAAAATGGGAGGGTGTGATTTATAAAACATACTTGGCTCTAGATATCAAATATGAAATCTCTCTCCTGATAGCTTTGGAGAGAGGCTTTGGTGTTCCAAGGATCATGAACATGAATTCTAGAGGTTGCATATGGCTTACTCCTGATGTACAAGTTTGTTCCCTAACCTGGAGTCTCAGGGCCTGGCCACTCTTTTCTAGGCCTCAGGATGATGGGATTCATAATAAAGTAAGAAAACTACCTTTTTTTAAGTGTGTGGTCCCAGTAGGGATGTACATTTACTTATTTCATTGTCACATGAAAGAATAATTAAATGTTTTCAAAAAATAAAATAAAATCCTGCTGCATGTAAAGTTCTAGCACAACTTTACACAGAAAAGTGTATTTTATTTTATACAAAATACATTATATTTTATTTTATCTTATTTTATCTTACAATAAGGCGTTTTTTCTGGTATGCAATGGGATTTTGCTGTCTTTCACTCAGTATCAAAGGTGCCATAAGATCCCTTTGCATACCGATATTCTACATTATAGATAAATGAATTACACCATAATACTAGCAGAAGACATTACAGACTTGGAACAAATAATATGGAAGGTCAACGTTAAAGTGCAAAGGCAGAAATAATGCTGAACATAAAGAAAACAAAAATAATGACCACAGAAGAAATACATAAATTTAACCTAGACAATGAGGAAATTGAAATAGTTAAAGAGTTCCCATTCCTAGAATAAAACATTGATCAGAATGGAGACTGCAGTCAAGAAATCAGAAGACGAATAGAAATGGGAATGGCAGCTATGAAAGAACTAGATGAGATGCTAAAGAATAAAGTTAGAATAATTTAAGCCATCGTGTTTCCAATCACCATGTATGGATATGAGAGTCAGACAGTAAAGAAAACAGACAGAAGAAAAATCAACTCATTTGAGATCTGGTGCTGGAGAAGAATGCTTAGGATACTCTGAACAGCTAAAAAGACAAACAAATGGGTCCTTGAACAGATAAAGCCTGAAACCTCCTTGGAAGCCAAGATGATCAA